GCGAGTGAGGGGTATGTATGGGCTTGGGTGATTCAGTCGGCTTTGCCTTCTATAGGCAAAGCCTAAAAGTCCTGTGGAGTTGCAGGCCGCATTTTCCAGATGGCAACTTATTTGGAAATGGGTCTGAGACTTCACGGGACTTCAAGTCTCCCTTCAAGTCCCGTGAAGTTTCATGAACATAAACAAATTTCACGGGACTTGAAGTCCCGTGAAGTTTAGTAGCCAACTAATAAGTTACGCAACTTAATTAGCTGGCTGCTAAACTTTACGGTACTTCAAGTCTTCAAGTCCCGTGAAGTTTCAGACAGTTTTTGGTCAAAATCGACTCAGTTTCAGTCATATGGCTGAAACTGGGTCGATTTTAACAAATAAGCTGAAAATGGGTCGAAATTTGCAATTAATTTTGTAAATTGGTCTTTTTTCAAAATTTGTCCTTTTCTAAAATACATGTCTGTTGCAATGTTTGGTGTACTTAAAAAAAAAAAAACTATTTCACCAGAGCACTCCTCACTTACCATCCACTTTGCAGAACATGATACACCTGTTGTATGCACATTATTAGTTATTATATTTTGAGTACTTCGGAAAGGGTCCTGATTTTCTTGAGGAGATTTCTCCATCTTACGTTGTGCTCCATAGCTAACCCTGAATGGATGAAAGCTTGTACGTAGATGAAAATTTTCAAATTATCCAAGTCTGAGTTCTACTAGTTACTGGAGTTAAGAAGAGGATGAATATATTAGAAAAATGAATCTCAACACCGAGGTTATATCTGGATGGTATGCAGTCATTTGATATTTGTTGAAATTCATACAACCACTTTGTGCAGACTGTCTTTTTTTTTAACGGATGCATTTACTGTAAAGTGTAAACCAATTTTCCATAGAGACCAGATTAAAGTGTAAACCAATTTTCCATAGAGACCAGACAAGCACGATGATTGTGCTATGAAAACCTTGTAAGTTGTCTTTGTGTCAATATTTAACCACGATGATAATTTCAATAAATGTCATGCCTCTGTGACAAACTCTTACTGAAATATTGTAATATCTATTGCCTAGTGAGTTGTCTTTGTATAAGCTACAATGGCATTCACGATTTTGAAGCATGATAATCTGCATTTCATTTCAATACTGATAGTACTAATAACTAATAAATTGTATTTAGGATAACTTTTACTCCAACTGTTCAGCACTGCAGTATGGCAACAGTTATTGGCTTGTGCTTGAGAGTTAAGCTAATGCGATGCTTCCCTCCACATTACAAGGTTAGTTTTCAAATCCCATCATAAAAAATATACTGGTAACATAATTGTTAAAAAGGATAATATCTTCCAAAAAATTGAGAGTTGTATGTAAATTGAAATCATTGTTGGATGATGTCTTCCTGAATGTTGACAGACATAAGAGCTTCATGATGCTGTTTTTTACTAGTGGACTTTTTAAATTTCAATATTTATGAAAAATTTGTAAGAAATTATGTTTATAGCACTAAGCAGATTTGATGATACGGGCAGAATACCTTACATATCAACAATAGTTGAGATTAGTTGAACGCATGTTTGTTGTAATATTGTGCTTATTGTCGTATAAAGGTATCAAAGACATCAATCACTTCTGCAGTAAGTGGATGAGGTTATTGTGCTATCTTGCTTTGTAATAATATATGTCAAGCGATAATGTAGAATTGTAGTGCCTTATCTCTGTCCTCACAGACAGCTTAAGGGGAGCATCCTTTCTGCATGTAACCTAAAAGTTCCACTTATTCTATTTCCTGTTGGTTGCGTTCTCAATGTCAAAAATATTTGAGTTTTCTGTTTCATTGCATTTGATTCCTTGGCTCCTACAGCTCTCTGAGTACAAAATGAACTTTTTCCCACTGATTTTTGTGCATTACATACTTTAGTTGAGTGAATTTCTTTTAGGGGTTGGGGAACCTCCCAGTACCCACTACCCATGCTTTTCCGGTGACCCAAGCCTCACAGAATTTATAGAGTGGATATTGGAACTGACTTTGTGTGAGGATATGTATTGATCATTTTAACTCTATTTTGAAGGGATCTACTTGCTCTCTTGAGATATATGATTATACTCACTTGGATTTGCCTATGGGTGATATGCCATATCATTTATACATTGAATTTGAAGAACTTGAGAATTTGCGGTGTCGATATTATGATCAATATCCTTTGACTAGTGTACTCGTTGTATGGCATCTAACATAATGTATGGAACATTGTTACAGTTTTAATTGCTGAAACTCCCTTTCTAGCTTATGTATATGCTTTGCAAGTCTGCGTTTTGTCTTTGTAAGTTTAAGGTGATCATAAAGTTTCTGCAGGTTGACATCAATGTATCTCCAGGATCTCATGCAGATGAAAAATCAGGTTCTCATACGAAATCTATAAAACTTACTCTAATTTTCACTTAAATGAGTGATGATTTACGGTGGTTCTTTTTCCTGTCTTATGATAGTCATTAGTCAATAATTTGATGAAATCTGGAGATAAATTTCATATGGTTTGGCCGATGAGTACTTTAAGATAGAATGAGACTTGCGTCAGTCTTGTAGGGTTTCTGATCTAAATATAACCCACCAGATAGACTTTTCCTTGTCTTGACCCTCTAGACGGAAAAAACAAATAACCAGTTTTTCAGAATTTTACAAATTTATATTGTTTAGTAGGTTCAGTCTTGATAATTGGTACGGACACATCCCTAAGTTTTATGTTCACATATATACCAGGTAATTGACTAATGAATGTTAGGATTAATTGCGTTCCATCACTTGGTATGTATTAGATGAAAATTAAATTCAATGTCCCCCTTCGCGTTCCATCACTTGGTATGTATTAGATGAAAATTAAATTCAATGTCCCCCTTCTAACTTTTCTAAATTTTAGCTCTGTTCACTGGGAAAGAATTGAATTGTCGATTGTGTCATAAAGACTCTTGTGCCTATGTCGTAATTGGCTCCTCTGAAGTAATCAGTTTTCTTGCTTTTTTTATTATAATCAAATTTCGAACTGCTTCACACATGCACTGATGTAGAATCCACCAAGGGGCTCTTTGAATCTACAAAGAAATAACCTTCGAACCCGAGAAAATTATGTAAATAAGAATAGTATTACTCAAAAAAAAAAAGTCTAGGATTTACACTCTTTTGCTTAAATAGAAACTCAATAGACTCCCAATAGGAATGAAATTGCTAGAAAATAGAAAATATCAAAACTACTGCAGAAAGACTGAGAGTGAGGAAGCCATTTGGTGAAATTTGAGATCAAATCGGATTCGTTTCTCAATCAAAACAAACTCTACCATCATTATTAAAAACAATAAAAAGTGGACACAAAGTCAGGCATCTCTGAATTTGGAGGGAATTCTGCGAATCCGATCGTTGCAAACTGAACTTGGGTCAGTTTGGTTGGCTCCATTGTGGAAAAAAAATGTGATTTTCATATATTATATGTATATGATTCTGACCTATGGATTGGTAGGTATGGTCTGATCTTCATGTGCAAGTTAAAAAAACCCTTCCAGGCCCCCACTTGGGGTGGGCTTCTGATGGTCTAACCACTCTGAACTCGTCAACAACGCATTCTACATCATGTGACCTCCTTTCTACCCAGAAGCCTCTCTACCTCTTAAGTGCTGACATAGACATTGTCATTAATATTGAGTCATATGTTACAAGCAGGCAGATTAATAAAATTAAAATATGAGAGCATGAAAGTTTTCTTTGCGTAGGAGTACAGTGTTGAAACTGACTGTGAGCAATTGTATCCTTTGGAATTAACAATGATTCTTGTGAAAATTGAATGTGGTCATTACTTCACAAATGAACTAGGAACTAGATAAGTTCGAACATCTAATCCCAACTGTATCTGTAAGTGTGATGCTTGTGCACATGAATCAAGACAGTAGAATGACAGTGTCCCCAAAACCTGAGCTCTCTCTTCTAACTTCTGTATTTAGGAGCTTTACTGCATCAAAATTTTTGGTTTCATAAAGTAGATTTTGGCTGCATATTTTGGTAGCTTGGGGATGTTAACATGTAAAATACTTTCTCCCTGATAGTTGGCTTGTTCAAGGATATGGGGCCCTCATCTGGTTGCACTATGAGTTGGATAATGGAGGAAAGGCTATTACCGTCCTAAGTAATAGCAAAGTTTCAAATGCAACGACTCCCAATGTTAAAGAAAATCCATATAATAGCGTTAGCTTAGCAAATAACTAAATGTTGGTTCTTCACCAGAGACCTTCAGCTCCTACGCTTAATATTAGAGTAGTGATAAGTAAAGTGCAAAAAACTACTTTTGTACTTCAATAGACAAAAGTGTGGTTCTTCAAAGTTGCTATAAAAAAATATGAGCCATGAAGTACCCCCACGCTTATGTTTCTTGTCCTACAGAAGTTGTTTGGAATCTGTAGTATAAATTTCTTTCTTTACATAATTACAGTTTCAAATACTTGTTCTAGCAAACCATAAAATACTTTAGTATTCTCCATCATTTCGATGTCAGAGATTCTGAAACCAGGCACATCGCTGCATTTATTGGTCTCTTAGTGAACGATAATGTTCTTAGGAGTAATTATTTATATTGAAGCCCTCTGTTAATAATTTCCCAAATAGAATTTGGCTTGTTGGAGGAAATTTGAAGTGAAAGTCCCTCGCATATAATTAACTATAAAATAGTATTCTAGTGCAGGCGATGCGTGCATGACACAGAATGTGGAGAAGTGCTATAGTTGAATTGTCAAGGGAATGAATGGTTTGTTAAGACTTTTCTGGATTTATCTCAAGTGTGAGGACATTTCCGTATTTTTTTTCTAAGTGTGAGGATGTCTCTATAGTTCTGTTTTCAAGTGTAAGGGCGTTTTTGACATTCTACAAATGTGGCTCACACAAACCAAAAGGGGGGCTTCTCTTAATATATAGTATAAAATTATAAATTATATGAGTTTCCCTTGAGGGCACAGATCCTAACCAATCAAAAGATTGATTGGTGGGCAGTTGGAATCTCGGCGCTCGAAAGTGGTGGACATTGGAAGGCTTCTCCTATGAGAGGCCTAATAGAATTTCTACTCCATTATACATTATGAATACTGACTAGGTTTGCCTCTGATGGAAATTTCAGATAGTGGGGCTTGTTACTCTAGCTGGCAAAGGTAGGGGAACACGATAGATATAGGACGTGGCATGCATATAGTTTAGGCAACGGCGAATCCTTTAAAATACTTTCTATTAATTTCTAAATTGACAAACATAACTACTGAACCTTGCTTCACTTCTAGGAAGAAAAGTAAGTTGTTACTGATCTGGGACTCTGAGGAATGCTTCTGATTATTGAACTTCCATTACAGATTTAGGTTTTATGAGTTTCCACAGTATCACAAGACAAACAAAACTGGCCATAAAATATGTCACATACAAGTAGTAGGCTCACCCTGACATTTGGATCTTCATATTCTAGGTTTCTTGAAGTGTACGTATATGGAGTCTCTTTAGTGTCTGAGACAGATAATGCTTTTACGTAGTCCGTTGACACATTTTATCATCAATCAAAATATATTACTGTTTGATTGGAGTTTGTAGTTCTACACAAATCGTTCTAGTTGCATGTATACTATATGTTAAGAGAAGCCTTCCTTTTGGTTTGTGTGAGCCACAATTTTGAACTGCCAAAAATGACCTTACACTTGGAGAAAACTAGAAAATGTCCTCTCACTTGGAAAGAACTACAAAACTACCATTACACTTGAAATCAATTACAGATATGACCTCACACTTTGAAAAATCCAAAACAAATATCATGGCCTCAAGAATTCGACTCCAACGTTCTGTGTCATGCACGCATCGTGTGCCTTGGAATACTAGTGGTGCACTAAACAAAGCGGGTAACTCGGTTCTTTTATTTACTAGCTACTTCCTTCAACCCGAGAGCTAAAGTGATTACACCCGTCAGCTGTATACTAAACTGATCCTATGTGCAATGACTACTTTGGCATGGTCCTGATTTACATTGGATATGGAATTGCAGTTAACAAGCAGTTGAACGATAAAGAGAGAGTTGCTGCTGCACTTGAAAACCCCAACCTTCGCCAACTTGTGGATGAGTGCCTATACTCTAATGAACTGTAACTCACATAAACTAGTCTTCAAGAGCTTTATGTACAATTAATGTTTATGCTTCTTAGATGGCCCCCGATGCAACTGGGATACTATGTATTTGGAGTAAGCATATCTGTATATTTGAATCTTAGTATGGTTTTGTTTATGCCCTTTCATCAGTGAAGTTTAGCCTGTATCTTGAATAAATTTCTGATGGGTGGCTTAGTACTCCAGCAAGGGTTATATAGTAGGTTTCTTTTTGTTTGTCTAAACTCCAAATTTTATTAACTTCCTTAAAAATTGTGAAAAATTATGGAATTCTATTTGAGTACTTATAAAAATTTTTGTATATGATGGATGAATTGAGTTTAATGTGGGACTAGTAGCTGCCAATTCTAGTCTCAAGGCTCTTCCCAGACTTGCTATGGTTTCCTTAAAATTGCGTTCCAGACTCACTTATGGTTTTCTTTTTTAGTAGATAAGTTATATGTGTATATTATTGTTAGTTCAGGCCCACTGTGGTTTATTTCCATATATCTTTGTTCTTTTACGATAATGCAATTTGAACTTTAACGAACTGAAATAAAAGGGGGACATGTAAGAGATCTTTTTAAATTGGGTATTGCTACAGGGACCCCAAAATAGGGGATCATTGAGGGGACAGGTGATGTGTCAGTCCCTGTTTATGAACAGTGCATCAAGCCCCCAGGGGCTGACACATCACCTGTCCCCTCAGGAGTCCCTTATTTTGGGGTGAGTTTTCCTTTTAAATTTTATCTACATGCAAAAGGGTCGTCACAAGTACAAAGTTGGTTGATACTATATACGTAAAATTTAAAATAAAAATATTAAGGTCAAATATTAGCTAAATTATGGGGTTATTTTGCTTTTAAATTGAGATCTGACTATACTTGATGATCTGCGCGCTCAAATGCTTTATTAATCATAATCAGAAAAGAGTTGGTGCTGTAGCGGCGCATCTAGGATTTGGTCTAATATCGTCTGCATGTAACTAAGTGATGTTAATATCTGTTATCAAATTCAATTTTTTTTTCCAGATCAGAAGAAATTTTCTATTACCAAAATCTCATTTATGCTCAGGATAGGGAAGGGTTTTACTCTTAGGGGCTGTTTGGTTGCACACTTTTTGAGAAAACTTTTCTCAAAATATCTGATAATGGTAAATTTGTAATTAAAAGTTTTTCAGAGATTTCTGTAAATTGTGTTTGGTTCAAAAAAAAATTTACAAAAATATTTTTTATAAAATATCAAAACCTACTAAATTTTACAAAAAATAATTTTCTCTCAAAATGAGAGAAAATCACCAGAAATCTGACACATACCATATTTAATTAAAAATCTACCAAATCTTGTTATTTTCTATAAAGTTATTTCTTGTTTTGAACCAAACAAGCAAAGTACAAAAAACAAGAAAATTGGTACTTTTTGATTTCTCAAAACTTTTCCTATAATTTTTTTAAAAAATACAAGCAAATCATATTTTAGGTGGAAAATATTTCCTATAATTTCTAGAAATTGAACCAAACACCCCCTGTCACAGCACAACGTGGTGAATTAACCCGGCTAATAAAAGAAATTAAACAACTCAATTATAGCATACCAGTTACCAATGACTTTGAAAAAATCATTCACGTAATGTCATCACCATTATACAGTGATAACCCCTTGTTACATTTTGATAGAAATCCTAATTTAAGCGGTATGCTAAGTGAGCCCGATTCCGCCTAGACCTTTTAGCTGAGGCTAACGACTTTTACGTGGGCCCTAACTGGGCTTCGTTTTACTCCGTTACCAACCCCGGCTCTAGTTCCCCATCGACCGCGCTCAGTTTCGACCCATCACCGCAAATCCAGAAGAAGCGATG